ACCCAATTGTAAGCCTTTGTATTTGTTCCCATTAAATTTAATCTTTATTAGATTCAGCCCAATTTTCTTGCCTATCAAGACCTTTTTGGATCCCGACTCTGTCACCCTGTGTTAAGTTAACCAAGCCACAGGTAGAAAGTAGAAGAACCAAGGCATAAAAACCAGGTCTTGAGATTCCAAAGTCTATGCTTTTTCTTTGGGAAAAAGATACTACATCATTTTTAGAAGAGAAGTGCCCAAGTCATCCAAAATAAAAAAGATACCATAATTTTTCACAAAGCATCTTTATACAAAGAACTTTTTTAAAAATATCTGCTTTAAAACCAGTGCTAATGTAAACAACTACCTCACAGCTTCTCAAAAATAATTTCAAGCCCTTGTACTTTTTGCTTTACTAGGATGAAAATTTTACAGAACAAGATGTTTGAGGCACCTTCATTCTTGGGGAACCAACATTCCATATACTTCTTGAATTCCTACTAAAACTACTCTAAGTATGACACACAAAATATTAATTTAGACAACTCTTGAGAATAAGAATACATAAAATATAATCTGCGTAGTGACACTGATACAATCCTCAAAAAGCACACAACCTCCAACCTCCAACCAAATGAAATGCTAAAATTAACAGATTAATGTCTTCAGAATACTGAGAGTTCTGTTTGAATTTATGTATTTTACAAATAACCTGCAAGATTTATATACAAAGAGACAAATTAGTATCGGTTTATTTGCAAAAGAAGGTAAATGACCTGTCTTAGCAGATGTCTGAATATGCAAGTTAAAAGGATTTCTACAAATTTTTGTATGCATTCCTTTAGGGGAGAGCAAGTTTTCTTTTCTATCTGTGGCAAAACTGACCTCATTAGCTATCACTTTTTAAAAAGTGATATTCATTTTAAAAAGGCAAGATTCTGAAATTACTAAGAACTGAATGAAACATTTTTAGCTGAATCAAGTAGCAAAGCTATAAATATTCTCTTATGCGACAGCTATCTTGCTAAAAGAAATTATTTAGAACACCAATCCTAACATAAACAACAGTTCAATTTTACAAAACCAGTTCTTCAATCCATAGATAATATTAACACTGAAATAATGCTTATACAGTTAAGGGTAACTTTAGATATTAGTTCAATTTTAAAGCATGATGAAAATTGGTCTATGATCTGATATTCATCTTCAGTATTCCTAATGTCACAAATGATGTTTCTTGTCAACAAGATCAATGCCATCAGTACTAGGTGAAAAAATGCCAATTCTAATTTTAAATTTTATTTGCATTTGTAGATCACAGCTTCTATTTTTCAGTATGTAAGCTTTTGAAGTGCTAAGCAAACTGGATGTTGCTTTTCTAAATACATAATTTGACTTAAGAACTTATTAGGCATATGCCAACAGAATAAGATTTATTTTATTCTGAAATACTAAATGTGATGTTACTTTATATTGGTCTAGTGAACAATACTCTACCACTAAATTGGTTCAACTCAATCTTTTTTAAATGGTCAAGACACTAGATTAAATGACAGAACACTACCAAAAGAAGTATTACATTATTCTTTTTAAGAATTTAACCTATACAAGGCAGGTAGGTGGCACAGTGGATAGAGCACTGGCCCTGAAGGCAGGAGGACTTGAGTTCAAATCCGGCCTCGGACCAAACACTTGACACTTACTAGCTATGTGACCCTGGGAAAGTCACTTAACCCCAATTGCCTTTAAAAAAAATTTACCCTATAACAAGAAGCAGAGATAATTATAATAAATGTGTTTTGAAAGACTTATACATGAGAGACAAATTAGTATTGGTTTGTTTGCAAAAGAAAGTAAATGACCTGTCTTAGTAGATGTCCAAATATGCAAGTTAAGAAGGATTTCTATTTTAAGATTAACCATACTTTGTCATCTAACTTATACAAGTCATTTATTCTACAGTTCAAATTCTAGTTTAAGGTAACACAGCAATGCCTCATTCACCCTGGTAGCATGGGGAATGAAGTGAATTTCCCAGTTAACTAAAGCTTATTCATCATCCTAGAAAAAAATATTGTGTTCATAGTCAGAGAACCAAGGCTCAAATTATGGTAAATCAATTTACTAGTTGTACAACCACAGGTTATGTCACTTAATCACTGATCCACATTTTTCTCATCTGTAAAAAGGAGATAATAAACTTTTACTAATTACCTCATAAGGTTGTTGTGCTTTAACATAATGCTTTCTGTAAACTTTAAAATACTTTACAAATGTGAGTTATTATTAACTTGCCTGGGACACAAAGTGGCTTGCCTGAAGGAAAATGACAAATGTTGTAGGGGATGTGGAAAAATTGGGCCACTAATGCACTGTTGGTGAAGTTATGAACTGATTTAACCATTCTGGAAAGCAATTTAGAACTATGCCCAAAGAGCTGGAAAACTGTACATACCCTCTGACCCTACAATGCCACTACTAGGTCTGTTTCCCAAGGTAATTAAAGAAAGAAAAAGGAAAAAGAGCTGTATGTAAAAAAATATTTATAGCAACTATTTTTGTGGTGGCAAAGAATTAGAAATTGAGGGGATACCCATCAATTGGGGAATGGCTGAACAAGTTGTAATATATGAATGTGAAGGAATTTTACTGTAGGATACTTTCAAAAAAGCATGGGAAGACTTATATGAACTGATGCAAAATGAAGTGAGCAGAATTCAGGAAAACATTGTAAATAGCAATAGCAATATTGTACGATGATCAACTATGAGTGATTTAGCTATTCTGATCAATACAATAATCCAAGACAATTCTGAGGACTTGTGATGAAAAATGCTATCTACCTCCAGAGAGAGAACTAATAGTCTGAATGTAGACTGAAGCATAATTTTTTAATTTTCTTCATTTCTATTGCCTTTTTTTTGGCTACATGGCTAACATGGAAATGTTTTGCATGATTTCACATGTATAACTGATATCACATTTCTTGACTTCACAATGGGGAGGGAATGGGAGGGAACAGTGAGAGAATTCAGAACTCAAGAAAAAAAATTTTGAATGAATGTCAAAAATAAACAAATTGATGATTAAAAATAAAAATAAAACAACAAAAAAAAAGACCTAGATTCAGGCCCTACTTCTGACAAATACTAGCTGTGACTACGGGCAAGTTACCCTTTTGCAACTCAACAAGAACGAAAGTTATAAACACATTAATGACCCACATACAAAGAATGATGTTCCACACTCAACATTCCTTACACAGATGAAAGCACAAGAACAAACCAAGAATAAGACAGTGATACACCCAAGGACCACTGATATGTAGGGCTCTTTGCCTGAATTCTAAATGGCTCCAGATCTCTGTTTTGATCATTCATCCATTTCTCTCATTTGTCAACTATTAGCAAAAGCTAACAGCAATGTGTTGCTTCTTGTGCTTCTAATCTGCTTCCTTATTTTAAATATACTGGCTTTGGAAAGGGCTTGAAGCTTTCCTTGACGCCCCTGTCTTGGCTGTTCTTTTCCTTTTCAAATTTTCCTAGAAACTAATTGCCCCTTTGTTCCCATCACTTTCTACCTTATCTTGATACACACTCTATTCCCCTAGCAATATATAAGTTCCTTGGAGCAATGAGAGTGTTCTAGGTTTGTCTTTGAATGCCCAAAACCTAGGACAGTGCTTTATTATACACAGCATACAATTAACACATTCACTTGATTTAACTGGATATACTTAGAAACTGTCCTAGCCCAGTCTACTCTAGCTCTTCCTCATTTCCAATGCCAAAAATTATTCCTCGTTTTAGCATCTCCAATCAACCATGCTCCAATATTTCCTGTTTTCTGTTCATAAGAAAAGTGTGCAATATGGACACAGAACAGACATAGCAGTAACCACATAATTCTAGGGCCGAACAGAGAAGAGTAAAAAAAAAAATGTGCAAATCTGTAGCATAAAAATATTTAAAGAGTATGAGTTTAGGGGACTTGTATGTACTTGGCAAATGTAAATGCATACAACTATAAATCTGAATTTGTAAAGAAAGTGAATTTGTAGACAGGGTCTTAGACACAGAGCATATTTGACCCTAATTTCATAAACTATTGATAATTCTTGAAATAGCTATTGAAATAGGTATAGTTTAAAATTCTGTAACACACATAATATATACTGATGGAATCAATTACCCAATTTTAATTATTATTTGCTATTAAGCACTAATGAATGATGAGGAAAAACAGTGTTTCTTCACAAGATGGGATTATCGTCCAATTTTTTGTGTCAGATAAATTCTCTAACTCAGAAGTTTTGGAAGAACTATTCTAAGCTATCAAAGACATGCTGCTTAATAATGGTTAATATATCCCTCTGGCTGGAATAGTTTCACTACTCTAAAATCATTTCGCTAGAAAACTGGAAAAATGCCAGAAGCACGAGAGTCGGTAGCACTAACTTATTTTGCGTTCTTTCCTTCCTATTGAGTACATGGAAGACACAAAGAGGATCTTGAAAAATCTGCCTTATTTAAGACTAAAACAAAGAAAAAAAATTAGTTCTGTTAGTTGATATTGCTAAGAATACTCACACATGAAAATGAGAACAAAACTGATAATGACCAAGTATCTCAACAAGAAAATGTTATTTTTTTCCTATATAATTTAAAGCTACCCAAACACCAAATTACCAAAATCCTACAGAAAGCTTTGTTTCAGGGGAGCTGCCTAATAAAGATCATACAACCAAAATGTATTCAAGACAACGTCCTTCTACTGGAATGTTACTGCATATCACAGAATCAGAAATCAGAAGTTAAACTTGTCATGGATGAAAGATGAATTCTTGGTTGTGCTACTTACTCCTATATAACTCGGACCAAAAAAAATTCAGAACTGTATTTCTATATCTTTGAAATGGACATTAAGTCCTATTAAGGTATTGTGAAATTTTACTGTTGATAAAGTATTCTGAGGCTTGCCAATAAATGGTGATACACTAGCAGGAAGTATTTGATACATACCTTGTTTTAATTCCAAACCTTCAGGCTGCTTGTTTTCCCTCAGGGATGAGGTAGAATCTACACTGTTGTCTTGTCTGAGAAATTAAAAGAAAAACACCTCAGCTTTGAACATTAACATCAGACTATATTTATAGTTTGATTGAATTTATTTACATCTATCCAAACTGGGGGGAGGGGGGGAAAGGGAGAATATTGAACCATATTACCCTTATTATGACCTAAGTCATTATCTGGGACTGTTAAATAAATACTTACTAAGGTACAATTGTTTCTCTTGACAACTATGGGAAAATTTATTGCACTAAAGATTATTAAACACACCACACAAAAGTAGCGGAAGAGAAATATGAAATGCCTAACTGCTTAGGTTGCAAATATTTTTGCCAAACCAGGTCAAGTATTGACAGCACAGAATTAGGTTTTCTCTTAATGACATAATAGAGCACACACACATGATGGGGAAGGGGCACTGCTTCCAGAAAACCATACAGTAGTCATTGAAGTTAAAGGGTTGAATTTGATGAGCACCTTGGCAACAGGATTATTTTTATATCCATCTCCACATATTTCTTATTTCAATTATTTTTTTAAATAAAGATTTTTGTGACATATGTTTTACAATTAATACAAAATCAAAGTAACTACAGGCAGTTTGCAGGAATTAGAACAGAACATGCAAAAAAGAAAACACATTGCTAAATAATAAATTGGAGCATTAATATACTCTAATTCACTATGTTCTTTATGACAGGGCTACAAACTATTTTGGAAAGATTGCTTCTCCCTTTCTAAAGGTTGTCATACTATCTTAGTATTGATTGATGGAAGTACTCGCAAAGGTGTAAAGAGCAACCGTAGCTATTCAAGTAAGAAATGTGGATTACTTCTCCCAAAAGAGCTATTTTTAAAGAATCTTTCATATACCACCTTAGACACTATTGCCACACCAAAGTTTCTCAGTCAAAAGATCATGACTAATTCAGCTAAGCAACAGCAATAGAACCTATACCTCCAGGTCATGAAAGGGGAGAAAGACTTGAACTCTTTTCTTTAAAAAGATCCTCATATTCTTAATGATAGCAAGCAAATAAATATTTTTATTATTTTGCATAAAGCTCTCCCTATACACACACACACACACATACACACATAGAGTTCTAAATTACTTAGTTTAATGTTAATAATGAAATCTAAGATATATCATTTGCATATTTAAAAAATTTACTTTTTTATTTTTTCCTAACAGCAACTATCATTGAGTTTTTACCTTTGTCCAGGAGAAAAATGAAACCATGACTATCTCTAAAGGATATCAATAACAGTCCTTAAAAAGCCAGCAGGCAACAAACCAATCCAACAAAAGTTCTAAAATGGAAAACGCTTGTGTGTTACTGTAACCTTTGTAATATTTAGGCTTTTGGTGTCCTGAGTGTCACAACAATATTTCACTCAAAAATTATAAACATCTACTGGCAAAGTTAATCTATTTCTAACTTCTCTTATGGCTTTAACAAGAGAAAATGGTTCTTTTTACATATAACCACCTCTCCCCCAAACATTCACAAATCTAAACATATATAGGAAATAGTGCAATAAAATAAACGATATGATAAAACCTGCCTGTCTGCAGCTGTCCCTTGAAGCTAGTCCATATCAAATGCTTCAAATAAAAATGAAGCTCACCGTAAAGACCACCTGCTGTCAAAAACAATTTATTTTAGTCCCAGAGGTGATCTTTTTATAACACATTTTATTTTATCATAATAGCTTGGGTTTGATTGGACTGTTAATGAAACTCACCATTCTTTCAAAAAGTAAGAATACTACCCCATCTTGTGGCTGAGATATGAAAAAGGCACTTTTCCTTAAGATTATCTGAAGTGAACAAGAAATACTAAAAATAAAATTACTTAAAATCATTATCTTTACAATAACTACTTAATTAAGATGTAAATTTTACAATTACATATAATAAGTTGAATCTGAAAATTTGGTCAGCCTCAATTTTAACTAAGGTCTTCAAGAAATTATTATATACTTTTAAATTTTAGTAATTTATCTAAATGTAATAAGAAAACAACTTTGAAATAAGGTAAATTTATAAAACTTTAGGAAAATTACACACTTTTTACATCATTATTTCAGCTATTGTAACATAAAAATGGCTATTGTAGATGAGGCAGTAAATATCTGCTGGGGACAGAAAATTTACTTGCCTTTATAATGTTATTTATAAATTCCTTTGATCACATCAACAACATAAGTAATAAATGAACTTTGGAAAGGATGTTTTATAAAGAGAACAGATAGAATAACATTATCTTTGAAGTGTATTTCAACTGTGAAATTTTATGAAAAATTATACACACATATATACTGACATTATATAGTAGTTTAAGCTTTGCAAAGCATTTTACATAGATTTCGCAAAAACTAAACCTCACAACAGCTCAATGAAGTAGATACTAAAAGTGACAACTTAACCCCATTTATAGATCAAAAAACTCCATTTCAGAGGGGTTAAGGGACTTGCCTACAATAACACAACCAGAAAGTGTCTGAGGCAGGAAAAGAACCTCCAAGTCCAGTGCTACATTTACATTACAGAAATAATTGCTGATTCCAAAGGTTATTTCAGATGTCACATAATGAGGCGAAGAAAACAGTTTTTCTGATATGTCAACAGTTTTTCTATTTTCTAACTTCTCAATCAGTAAAGTACCTCCCAATTAAAGGGTAACATACATTGACCTCCAACCTATTCTCAGAATAAAGGGTCAGAGGATGATCATCAACACTCATTTGTCTCCTTCCAAGTAAATTCTGGTCATTCCTAGTGACAGCATGTTTTCTCCCCTCTCTTCAACTCTAAACCTTTTTATGAAAGAGTACCCTCAGCAGTAGAGGGCTCCATTCTATTTCAATAATCATTGAAAGGAATATAAATTACCAATTTACTCCTCATCTTGTCCCTATCCTGCTAATTTCTCTAATATTCCCCATCTTACAAAGCTGGTATGAATAAACTAAGAATCCAAATCTAAAGCTGAAGTGTGACTCCTCTGCTCAAAAACCTTCAGTAATTCCTTGTAGTCGCTAAGACAAAAAAAAAATTCGTTTGGCACTGAAACCTCTTTAAACTCTAGCTCCAACTTACCTTTTCACATCACTCCCCTTTATACCTTCTATCCTCCAACCAAGCTGGCCTACTTGCCATCCCCCAAAAAAGACATTCCCAATCCTGTCTCTGGTCTTTGTCTTTCGGAATATCATATCCCACATTCCTTTATGGTGGTTGCTAAATCTTATGTGATCTGGACTAAGGCTCTGTGGTACTTGAATCCTTTTATTCCCCCCCTGGCTGGTTGAAGTATGTTTTCTTTGATCTGGAAGTTCAAGATTTTGTCTGTGATGACCCTGGAAGTTTTTATTTTGAGATTTCTTTTAGGAAGTAATTGGATTCCTTCTATTTTTACTTTATTCTTTTGTTCTAAGCCAGTTGGACAGTTTATTTTAATAATTTCTTGGAATTTAATAACCACCTTTTTTTTTGCTCATGTTTTCCAAGTAGTCCAATGGTTTTTAAATTATCTTTCCTTGATCTCTTTTCCATATCAGTTTTTTTTCCTGATATATGATATCTTACATTTTCTTCTACTTTTCTAGCCTTTTGATTTTAATATTAACTGTCTTATGGAGTCATTAACTATTATTTCATTCATTCTAATTTTCAAGTCATTTAAATTTTACTCCACTTGTACTAAATTATGAATTCTCCTTCCAAAGCTCTAATTTTAACCCCCAATTTTTTCTGCTAGCACTCATTTCTTTTACAAAATCATTTTTTAAACTAAAACAAAACTAAAAACTTCTTGCTATATTTCTTCAAAGAATCCTATTTGACTTTGCATTCAAATTGTTTTTTTCTTTGAGGCTTTGCTTGTAGATGTTCTGGAGTCAGTCTCTTCTTCAGTGTGTTTTTGGGGTTTTCCTGTAACTTTAAGAGTTCTTTGTGGTAGCATTTTTGACTGTTGTTTGTTGAATCATTTTTCTACATTAATTTTCTGAATTGGGACTTTGTGTTAGGATTATGTTCTCTACACTTCTGGAATGAATGTCTGGGCTTTATTTGGAGCTGATTTTATTTCTAGGGGCCCTCTGGCTTTCTCTGGGTTTTGAGTACCATGTTCTTCAAGGATCTTAGGGGTTACTCTTGCTGTAATACAGAGCTACAGGTTCCAGTTCAGTCTCCTGGCTTCAAAGCTCTGAATTGCACCCTCCTAGCCTAAACACACCTGCAATTACCTGCAGACCTCAATTTTCCCCTGTTTACTTGTTCTGGAAAATTCTTCTCTGTTTTCTTCCTTAGATTTCTTAAACATGACTGAGTCAGGTGATCATTCTAGGTCTTTGTTAAGAATAGTTCTGGGTGGTGAGCTGGATTGCACTGCTTCCTTCTACTCCGCCATTTCTGCTGGTCTCTGATGTCTGTGCCTTTGCACAGGTGTTCCTACATCCCTGTAATTTATTCTCTTATCTATGCCTCTCAGAAATCCCTAGCTTCCTTCAAAGTGCAGTTCAAGTGCCACTTCCTATACAAGACCTATCCTGATTGCTCCCAGTTGTTCTTCATTTTGCATCTAATTTTGCATTTATTTATCTGTATACATGGTGTTTCCCTCCAACGGAATATAAGTTCCTTGATGGTTTCAGTTTCATATTTAATCCCCTGGTGTTTATCACTGCCTGGCACATAGTTTGTGTTTAATAAATGCTTACTGAATGAATGAGTGAATATTACACTTTCATTTGAGAGTGAAAAAAGACGTTTTCACATCCCACAAATGCTAGATTCCAATCTAAGCACTGGGTCAATCTGCAATAATTACGTTTCACTAAATCTAAACATTATGTTAAGTCTCCTGGTATATTAACTTTCCCTATCAGGCAGGATGGCTGATGGACAGCTCGGCCATCACAATGTTATAAAACAAAGTTTCTCTAAGTTCTGGAGAATCAATTTGTGTCCATTAATAATATTCTTAAGGACTTAAAAGTAATTGCTCAGCCCTCC